TTTCCATTCAATTATTACGTTCATACGAACACGTGCAATTTTCACGTGAATTTTACGTCACGTTCGCGATAGATAAGACTGGCGTTAGAAAATGAGCAGGTTCTCGATAGTCGTGGAAACTTTCGGAGTCACGAGCAGAAATACGAGACTCGTTGAAGCGTGAGATGCGTTTGTTTAGATTTTTCTGAAGTCAAGCAACGTTCCATCTCTGTAAATTTATCTGTTTGGGAAGTTTGGACATTGAACGTAGCGCTAATGATTCTTATCCATTAGATTCTTCCTAATGAAAGGGATTTTGTTGCAACAAACTGAACTCCTTGCGATGATTTCAATAAAATCAATTTCATTTTGTAATTTCACCAGCGAATGAGAATAAGATATAATCTAATGTAGTTAGATACATATATCATGCTTGTTGTAATCCCAAGAAATTGAAGTTAATTAATTTTTCGTTTTCCTTTGGACAAGTCGACTTATTACGAGGCATTTGAAAGATTAATAACCCAGAGAAGTTAAATATGCGAAAGATTCACGAGCAATCATCTTCAAGAATCTTCAAGGATCGGAGCCAGGTTGGAAGTTAAAAATTTTACAACTCTGTCTGTCACTCTATTTGCGGAAGAATCTGTGCCTCTGTTTGACGATACGCACATGCGATCAATGAATGGAATCGTTTATGCTCGTTTGTAGCGATATCACGAGCGAGAAACTTTCCATTGGAGATCGAGAATGGGGGAAATCAATAATCGAATCTTAACGTAAATAATTGCGATAAGAAGACCTAGTGATTCTAATAATTGTTAAACTTAACATAACTTCCAATTGTTAAATTAACAACACGCACGTTGGAAATTGTACGATCGAATCGTGACGGAAATGAAAATTGGGAAAATTGCGAGAAGTTACTTTTGATTTTACCTTTATTTGAGAGGAAGATACGAGTTCGAATCGGCTTTAGCCTCTTCGAAATGGCTCTGTCAGTCACCATGCCAATGTCAGGCGATTATTATACGCGAGGTCGACCTGCTTTATATGGAACTATCAATAGCCATGAGAGTTTCAGTGATTCTCATTGGGCAGAAGCTTCGAATTACTGTATTTTCACAGCCTTTCGCAAAGCAAAGTTGCAAAGTTGCAACGTTTTAAATCATTGATCGTCACGTGCATGACTACAGATCATTTTTCTACATTATCTACAGTAACATACTTATGTTCGCGAAACGAGGTTTCGAAATTGTTCTTTTACATTTCTTAATCACTTAAATTATTTTTTTGAATTATTTAAGTCTTTAAATTATTAAATTATTAATCATCATTACGAAATTGTAAGTAATTCTCTAGTTACAATCGGGGCATTCTTTTGCAAATACGTAACTAAACGAAATTGAATGAAATTTTACAAATTACAAGTTTTATAAATTGTCAGCGCTAATAGATATTGTTTTACAGTGTTAACAAGTTTAAGAGATTAGTTAAATTCTCCAAGTGAATTAATGGAACTACAAGTAACCTAACTAATCCACTTGACGAGAAATTACGAAATTACGAAAAGTTATAATTTGTAACTTCAATCGATTGATACAAAGACCATGGTTGTAAATTATTTGTTCACGCTGTTAGTTTACTTGAACATTATTTTTTCTAACTCATTATCTTTCTTTTCTTTCATTGTAAGACAAGATCAAGTAGACTTTATTTGTTACGTGTTTTCATCGAGCAAACAGCTTATCTCATCACACGACTAATCTCATATAAATTGTAACAAATATTAGGAAAAAGATTTTTCCCGATGTTCGCAAAGTCACGCTGTAAGTGGCATAAATGACAAATTTCTTAATTTCGAAGAATGCATATACACCACTGCTCAAACGATAAATATTTATTTCGGTAATGTGCGCAACAACCAGAAAAAAAGAAGAAAAGGTAATAATAAATATTAAAAATAAAAAAAAGTGTCCTAAAATATTTTCGAGTGTAAATGTATAATCTCCGAGATCTATTTGAACGACTTTTTTTTTTTTTAGATACGTGACTCGAAAGAAAGAAGTGAAGAAAGTCGATCGAAGACCGAACAGGAATTTATATTTAGAGGCTTTAAGATCGAAAGTACACTTCGAATTGTGAGTTCTATCGTATTTACGAATGATAGTCACAATTTGTGAAAGCCGTATGTCATAATGAAGTATCGATCAGGTTTTTTCACACGCTGACATTTCAGAGTTAAACGAATTAGCTAATCAAGGACTGCGTTGAATTTCTGAAAAGCGCTGTAAGATATTAAGTTCTTGAAAGATCACGAAATATTTCAATTTTCTTCTCTCACTGGCGCAAATTTCAAGTACTCTTTAATCAAGTTCTGAAAATATTAATAACAAGTACAATAAAAATTGACATGAAAATATAATGAAATTAATGACAAAAATGAAGAGATAAGATGGTGAAAGAAACTTTTTATATTCGTCTTCTGCGAATAAAAGAGAAATCGTATGAAAGAGAGTTGAAGAAGTTGGAAGCAATTTAAAAAAAAAAAAAAAAAGAAAGAATTCGTATTTGCCTTTATCTCATTATTTTCAAATATATTTTGGGTCATGCTATCGTTATCGCACTGTAGAGTACGAAGTTACGTTTAGCTTCCGAAGTTGTTATGATAGTCAAGCACTGTTATCGACACTTTTTTTACTATGTTACTACGTTGGACAGCTTCATTTATAATGTCCGACAAAGGGATTGCTTCTGACGAGAGTTAACCGGATCAGAAGTTGGATCAGTACTCTTACATTGTGGTCACACACATATTTGATCATGCGTGAACATTAAAAATCCGATCGAGTCCGTGCTTTTTACTCGATAACAAGTTGTTGTGCAACATGATAACTCTGCTTTATGTAACACTTAAACAATACGATAATAATAGAAGCGATCGATGCAACAATATTAATAGCAATTGATCGCGATTACGAGAAACAGAGTTAGCTATTGTTGCCCCGTACATCGTGGTCTTCGTTTCTTATGATCAAATTGCGAATTTAATGGGGAAAATGTAAATAAATATATAAAAATACGCATTCTGTATGAGATACATACAACGAGGAGCTGCAACATTTTCAAATTCAAGCATCCATCATGATCTCGAAGATTGAAGTCTTTCCATTACGTCGATCCCTTGAAACTTGCAATATGATATTTCTCGCCATTATTTCTCTCCAATGTTACAAATATTAAAGTTAAATGACAGACATTCAAGAAATCCTTTCCACTTAGTTGTCTAACCTTCAAAGTTTAATAAAATTGTGAAAAATAATCGTACAGCAAATTTCATGGGGTCGACGTAAAGAGCAGACTTCTTAAATAGTTATGAAAAAAATTTTTTCAATCTTCAGAGAGACGTTTGTGTAATGTTATCACAGACTTTTAATATCAATTGTGATTTTCTTTGTTTGAAACAGTTCAGTTTATTGAAATAGGTTTTCCTTGTATATAAGGTATGAACATGTCCGTCGTTCTATAGTATCTAGAAAATATGTAGGACGAAATATTAAACTATGCAAGTGCGAAATTCAAATGCAGTAAAGTGTAAATTTTTGGCCGACAACGCAGTAGAATTAAAAACAATGAAACGGTACGAGAAATGATTTACGAGTGAAGGATGTGAATTTGCACAAGTATTGACAACTTAATGACAATTTAATGACAACTTAATGACAATTTAATGACAACATCGTTTTTAATTATGTAGATTCTATACGTTTTCTATTTCTCAAGGAGCTGAGACTCTATTTCGGTCTTGTTATCCGTTTTACTGCGTAAAATTCTATTCGAATTCTTTCGAGCGCGTTTTCAATATCGCAATGACTAGCAAGTGCCAATTTCAAGTTATCATTCCACGCAGTTAGTTCACTATGTTCTTTCTATCGATGATCGTTGTAATCGTTCTATTTAAATTCGAACATCGCTCATTGCATAATTTTTTTCGGTAGAATTTCGCTTTGGTTTTACCTAACGAAGCATTATACTTTTCCTTTTTTGCTTCTTAATTTTATTAATACTTAAATTTACTAATTTTACTTAAATTATAATATAAATTTCTTAATTTTTCTTAAATTTAATACTTTATTAATACTTAATTTTATTAATAATTAAATTTTATTATTATAAATATTTTCCATAAAATTGTAGAATTTATGATGGGTGGAATAATGATGAAAAAAATATTAAAAGAAAGCTTGAAATTCCTTTTCAGAGCATCTTGTTAATAAGTTGACAAATTAAAAAGATTGAAAAATAGAATAGTTACACAAAACAAACTGTTCCCTGTTGCGTTCCTTCGCAAATAACTTTTCTACAATATTCTCCAAAGAGTATAACCAAAAATTCACCGAAAGATACACCGAATGAATTTCCATCAATTTTTCCCTCCAATCCTCTGATCTACTACCTCGTAAATTACAGACGCTAAGTCTACAAACGCCTAAGCTAAAAATAAAATTAAAATATTCTAAACAGCACTACTCAATGACTCCGCGGCCCTCTCCGCACTCCTTTCTTCCAATTAACTACCTTCTTCTTTGCTTAGCAGTGATCCCTACAATATACTCAAGATAAACGCAGGAAAAAGCAGGCGCTTAAAGTAATTAAAAAGAAGAAGAAAAAGCCTTAATGAATCGAGATTTCGAACGCGTAAGTACGCGCGCCACTCGTAAGTGGCGGAGTGGTGGGGATGCGCAGAGCTGGATGCGCGCGCATCCTCTCACCCCCTACCACTTTTGACAGCAACGCGCTATATTTGACGTCACCGGAGTAGGTCGCGGCACTCAGCTGACGGCTGCATTCGGAAGTGCAAGGAACTGTGACAGATTACGATTACTACACGAGTTCAGGTACGATCCCACTGACTCTGCTCTTCCATTCGTGCCGCGTGTGGGTGTTTCGAGATAATCTTGCAGACCTTCTTCTTCTTCGCGTTGTATTTCTTTTTCTGTCGTCCTCAGTTTCTTGATCATTCGCACGAGACTGTTCGCGTCTCTGGGGGTAGTTGGAGTGAAATTTTTCATTTGTTTTTATTGATTTTCGAATCTTTTTCTTTTGGAGGGTGAAGAAAGAAAGTGTATATCAGGTTCCTCTTGGATTCTGTACTGGACTGGTATAAGTAACTTTAGATTTGTAATGGAAATATTTTTATTTCAATTTTATTTTCATACATATATTTGTTTTTTGATTGTCTTTCTTTGGAAAGTACGTGTTTTAGGTTGTTGCACAGGTATAAACTTCTTTTTAAAAATTTCAGTTAAAAATTAAAATTAAATTTTTTTTTATTATTGTTTAATATTGATGAAGAATTCTTAAACTGAAAAATTTTATTGTCAATTAAAAATGTCATCTGCGTGTACGTACTCACAGAATACGATGTCATAAAAGTTAATCAATGTGTAATTCAGACTGAAATTAGAATTTTCTACTCAAATTGAAAATGTTCGGCAATCATCGAATCTTCGATAAGAGTACATGATTCTTTGATAAGGTAGAAAGTAGAATACAGGATTGATGAAACACTAATGTTATAAAATATCGAATTTCATTTCTTAAGATTCCAAGATGAATATTTGCTGTTAATTCAAAGACAAACATCGTGATTTTATCGATATTATTTGGTTAATTTTAGATAATAGGCAGCAAATATTTTATCTTTGTTTTATTAAAACTTAACCTAAACGCTTAAAACACACGGAACGAAAGATTCTCTGCTAATTCTACATATTTTAAATGTGACGAATATTACAAACGATTGCACAACTTATGTATCGAGCGAAAAAAATGATCTTTATTGCAACACGTTTTCCTTTTTTTTTTTATTGCACAATCGACTAGAGATTTTGCAATCTTTATCTTACAAAAGTTTCGATTAAATTAAAGTTTTTATAATAGCTGGCAATTACAAATACGTTTGTTAAATTGTACTTAATCTCTTGGTATGAGAGATTACGGACGAAAGAATTTATGGATGTACTACTTTCACGTACGTAGTCATCTCGTGCATTTATCAGCCACTGGAAAATTACTTTCCTCTATGGGGAAATGGCCGATATCCGCACGTGTCTTTAACACATCTTAATATTACATTAATCTTTAAATGTGCAGGAAGATTAAAAGAATTTTTCAATTGAAAAAGAATGTTAGCACGACCGACAACCAAAATATTTGCATTAGAGAAACTAAGGTGCAAAAGTATATATAGGAATAAATCGAAAAATTTATTTATTCTATATTATTTATATCATTTCTAAATATTATTTCATTTTACATGTTAACACTGTCATCACGTTTTCTTCTTCTAGGCTTCGATCACGAAGTTGTACTAAATCATTTTCAAGTATGGCCGAATCTTTGGAACAGATGCCAAAATCTGAAACGATCAGACTTCGAGATCGTTACGTTGGGTAAATATTCAATTTGTCGTTATTATCGTATACAGTTAATGGTCATTTCGAGTGACGTGAACACGGATCGATCGTTTTGCAGACAAGCGTGTAAATTATTTTACAAATCGAACCCGTTGAAGATCGTTCGAGCTGAAGGACAATACATGTACGATGAAAGGGGCAACCGCTATTTGGATTGCATTAACAATGTCGCTCATGGTAAGACAAAATATAACCGATTAATATATTTCTACTTGTTTTATTACACGAACTTCTATGCCTGCACTGATATTTGTGATTAATCTGCCATTCTTTTTCCTAAATTTTTACACGTTGATTCCTGCAAAATTGAAAATAATACTTTCAAGAACTTCAAGTAGTGTTGCGGAAATAAATCCTAATCCTCGAGCTTCAAAAGCTAGAGTTTTAACCTGAAGGGATTAGAATTTTCTGGCGTCGAACTTTGAGCTGTCTACCTTCAAAGCAGCATCGTAAATTGTGAAATGTCACGCATGTCGACAATATTGTTTAAGAACGTCGAGGCCTAATCGTAAATTTTAAAGCTTCAGTCTTAAAGCTTTGAAAGCCCCGTATGATACTTGCCCTAAAAACTCAGCCTTGAAGCTTCGAAGACTCGAGTTTTATGTGACAATTCGTGAAGAAATAATTACGTCAAGGTCAGATTAAATTCAAATTAAGTTATTGCTCAATTCTAATAGAAATGTTCTCTTATAGTAGCGCGAAATTTGTGGAACTCAAACTTGAAAATGAATTTTTGAAAATCTGGCTTTATATAATATTTTTATAATACGGAATAAAAAGAACTGTGCATGGGATTGTATAGAAATGATTGTCTCTATAGACATATAGACACATGTTTATTTAAGAGAGTTTAGTGAAAGAAAGAATGAAATAATGAGAAAGGATTTTGCATCAATTTAACGTGATTAAATGAATGGATAAATAAATAAATAATTAAATCACCAAGTAATTAAACAATCAAATCAACTAATCAAATAAATAATAAAATAGTCACACTAACAAATGAACACTTACAGTGGGTCACTGTCACCCATCGGTGGTGCGTGCCGGCCAGGATCAAATGGCTATGCTCTCCACCAACAACCGTTTCCTCCACGACAATTTGGTAATCTGTGCTCGACGTTTGACCTCGTTCCTTCCGGAACCACTGTCCGTCTGTTTCCTGGTGAACTCGGGCAGTGAAGCCAACGATCTCGCGCTTCGTCTCGCTCAGACGCACACGAAGAACAAAGACATCATCACTCTAGACCAGTAAGTTGTTTTTATTTTTTGAAGAGAGCTTCAGACCGGTAAATAGAATGATTTCGTCTTTCCACGTAATTCTCGTCCTGAATTATACATTCAGTTGTCACAGAAATTTATAAACACGAGTATGTATTTGTAAATAATTCATTCGCATTTTAGATATTTCCTCCTAATAATTTAACCCTCCGAGTAGTTCGTGTCCTTGACTAATTTTCTTACCTTTAGTTTTCCAGTCTTCCGAGAAATGTCGAAAAATTTCGGATCAAGCACAATGACGCTCTCGAATTTTCCTTTAAATCAAATCTTTGAAAGACTTTTCAGGGAGAGTAAAAAGTTCACGAATGAAATTTTGCCGAGGGCGTTAAACGATCGCTTGCGAAGGGTTAAGAAAAAATTCTGTGTGAAACGAAATCGTTGTTGTCCAACAGGCTTACAGCTTTTCCCACAAAATATACGCTCGTCAAACAAAAAAAAAAAAAAAAAAAAGAATCGAAGAAAACACACTATGCATCTAAAAACAAAAAACACACACACATACAAAAAAAAAAAAAAAAAAGAAAAAGGAAATGCCTCGACCATTTGCAGGTAGTTTCGGTTTCCCTTTTAGCAGATCAAAATTCAACGTGAGTTGCGATGCGACTAGAATAAGACTAGAAGATGATAGGAACACAATGAGTTTTTCAGGCCCTGACGATTTCACCCACAGCCAGATCGCAATTATCTTCCTCACTCGACAGCCGACTAATCATGTGGGTTTTCTTTTTTGCCTGTTTACAGCGAGTGGAAGAGGCAACGTGGCCAACGATTTATCGAAGAGACG